AATTACCTTTTCTGAGAGAAGTAAAACTTTGGCAACAAGCACACAGAGGCATCAAAGCTAGAATCTCAAACAGAACTACAGGAAAAAGAAAATGAAGGCAGATTCAATCTGAAATTACATGGTAGGGAGAGAAAAAATTATGTTACGCCAGTCATTTTTAAGAAGGAGAAGCAACAAGCAGTGGGTAATGTAGTCTCCTGACACCAAGAAATCCAGTAAAAAGGACACAACTGCTATATATACAGTAATGTTTAATGGCCACTCCTTTCTGTTCATCAAATTCTTTGCTCTCTGTTGTTCACCACAAAAGAAAAAAATACAGAAAACATCATGAAGGGCTGTTGTTGTTTGGATGGGTTTTCTTAACAGCTAGTTAAACTTTATACAGGTGAGATATTCTTTATCTAACCAAACTGATTGGAAGGCAAACAGTAAAAATATTCCAATAACCTCACATCAAAATTCTATAGGAAACTGGGCAATTTTCAAGTCTCTGCCAAAAACTGTCCAATGTATCAACTAATACAAAAGCAAAAGAAACAAACATCCATCTCAAGCAGCTATAAAGACTAACCAAAAAATAAAGTGATAGAATAGAAACAGTACTATCAATGGTAAATTAATACCTGCTTTACAGGACTGGTCCCACAACTAAAGATAGGTTCTGTCACATCAGAAAGCATGTGAAAGCATGCTGTCACCATAGTAATGTTTTGGCATTTATAGGATGTCAAGGCTTGTCAATCAATGATGTTGCTCCTAAAATCATGTTAAAAAAAGAAAAAATAGACTGAACATGTATTATATTTATTAAACAGCAGTGCAGAACTACTGATTCTTTAATGCAGCTGTATTCAGAAATTCAGAGCTTTATTCTCAGTTACACTGGTGTAAAATAAAGTAATGCAACTGAAGCCGATTACCTCAAGCCAATGTCATGGGGAACCAGCTCTTTAGAATGTGAGCCTCCAGGTACAAAAATTTCATAAATACACTTCTTTTTCTTTTATAAGGATACTGTGACTAACGTCACGGGATTAAAGACCTTTAGGTCTGCTTTGATTTACGCTGTAGTCTGAAGTGATAATCAGCATCAGCCATGGAATTACACAGGTGACAGACTGGCATTATGTGTAAGCCTTTGTCCTCACACTGGGGGTTATTAAATATGCTCTACTCTAGGATGTAATCCTTAGTTGTTCTGACTCCAGCCTTTGTCATTTTTTCCTCATATGGAACGGACAGCCAAAAGTCTGATTTTTTTCTTTGCCGTGGCTTCACTATGTGTAAAGCGTTTGTCTGCTTAGATGTAATCCCAGTATCACGTTTTTGTATTCAAACCACTAGTACCAATTCTGAGAGGAGAGGTGAGATTTTAAATCAGTGCAGAGAGAAGCAGAGAATCTCACTGAAAATTGAATCCATAAGGCAGAAGACCATATCTGATACGTATAGTTCTAGTATTTATTTGTAGAGCTCCACGCCTGCAAAATCCCTGAGTACCAATCCCAGCAGGCTCAGAGGGTGATGTAGCCACACAACAGGTACCTCCAGGGCTTCTTTTGGGGGCATGTGCAGTAAAAGCTGACTAAGTGATGCTTCTCAGACTGCTCTGTCAAAATCAAGCATTATGCATTTGCTTACAGTGCATAGCCAGCAGAACAAAAATTAAAAATAAGACAAGATTGTAGTCATATTTTCTCTCATTTACACAAAATTATATTCTTGGAAAAAAATTAAAGTCCACCTAATTCTACAAACCCCACCTCTATAAACTCCCTCTGGTGAAAGAAAACAAATTTGCTCAGCTGCCAATTGCACCAGCAGGTCAATGGGTTCTTTTTCTCCCTCAGTCAGCACAGCTGTTCTGCAGTATCTCAGCCTCACTTGTCTTTGAAAGAGAGCTCAGGTCCTGCTAGTTTTGTGGCAATGGCAGATGCATTTCACTACAGGTCCAGCACATGTGTACAGAGTCCAGCAGTAATGCCTACACGGCTCCTGCAGAGCGCACAGAGCTGTGCATTTTTGTGGCTGTATCATTCGTGACTCCTGAGCTACTTTGTGGGTAGTTGCACCCAGACCTCCAACTGCAGTAGAGAAGCAGCACCGAGGTTGTTCTCACACACGTGCACCCCAGACATCTCAGAAAACAGACTCTTGTCACAGGTCCATGCTGTTAGGCCAGTGCTTTCATTCAAGGGTCAGGACTGAGATAGGAAAGCCTTGAGAACCTCACTGTAGTAAAATAGCTTTATTCCTTGTTGTATATCAATAGTTTTATCTCTGCCCTTACTTGGCATTATTTCTCTATCGCAGCCCTTTGACTTAAACTCCTTGTTAGATTGAACAAATTAACTCAGAAAGTTGCATTTATAAAAAAATTCACATATTCCTTCTATTCTCCGCAGTATGTAAGAGTATATTTGCTGAAATTAAATCAAGAAATATTCATTCTAAAAAGGTTTTGAAGATTGCACAGGACTTTCTACAGAAACTGATACAAAAGTGTACACTAGAGCGATGCTGAATTGCAAAGCTGCCTGAGCACAGCTGCATTAGTACACAGACCCTCCCTTTTCAGCCATATTAATATATCAAGTCATTCCACAGTGAATAGTTATTCTTGTGAGGCACAACGAAGTTCCAGAGGCTACTCCGTAGACTGGAATATTAGCCTCAGCTTTCTAAGTCTGGCCTGGTTTCTCCAGGCAAAGGAAAAGTCAATTATGGCGAAACCGAACTGCCAGAATCTCTTCAGTAAACTTCTGTTAGACTTTGAGAATGTGAAGGAAAAGTCTCTGCTGTTGTGGGGGACCTGATGTGTATTTCCCATCTTTGCTATAGTCAGAGTAGCAACATCCACAGATAAGTAGACTTAAAGTGACTGCCCAGCAGTACTAAATTCCCTTTAAAAGGCTGACTTATCCCAGCTGTTTATGAAAATATCTTCTTGGAACCCTTTCAAACATAGCAGATATGCTGGCTAGCTAAGCTTCCAAAACAGTCCTCAGTTATGAACTTCCAAACTCTATACAAGAATCAAATTGCCTCACCTGGACATTGTGTTACATTCCCTTGACCAGTGTCATTACATCCCTCTTTAGGTGCGGGTGTGAGGAGAACTCTTTTCTTTAAAAGGAAACTGAAATCTGTAGAGACTTCAAACAAAGAGACCCTGACATAGGAGAGAAATCCCATGCCAGAGGGAGAAATGCTGTTACTTCTGCTTCATAAATACTGACAATATGTTGCTTTAGGTAGTACTGGTGCAACAACAGGAACATTTCTTGCATGCCACACTGTGGTTACCTTTAGGAAATGATCTGTAAGTCCAAGTTTGCTTTGATCTTGGTGCCCTGGCACTGATAGATAGGTAGCTAAAGACAGCACTTCATGGCTTCTGGAGAACAGAGTTGTTTTCCTGTCCACTTTTGCCCACTCAGTCTCAAAGGTTACTACCCCTGCAGCAAGCTGTGCTCATATTTCATTTTTTCAGCTTCTTTCTGTGAACTCATCAGGGAGCTGCATTTCGGGCTCTGGTTGCCCCGCTGTGAACTGTGATAGCCGGCATGCAGAGCCACCCCTCCTTCCACCGCCTCTGCCACAAATAGCTCCAACCTTTAACCAACGGACAGGAAAAGAAGTAAAGGGAAATAAATAGCTCTAAGTGCCACGGATGGAGTCAGAGCCTCAGCTAAGATGAGTCAGCTCAGCCCCAGCTGTACCAGCTACGGCCTGGCTTTTTTTCTCTATTCACAGGATGCAAGCCAAAGCACAAAGGAAAATTTCCCAACTGCTTGTCATTGTTATAGCATGGTAAATCCAAGGCTCTGTCTGAAAACAGGCATCAAGTACCTTCCCTTCTCCACTCTACGAAATGTTTAAAGAAGCCCAGCAGCACCAGGACCCTTTTCAAGACTCTTTGCCTCCTGGCAGTATGTCAAATGTTGTCACCACTATAGTATTCCAATGCTGCTAAACAATATTTGCAAACATCCACTCAGACTCTAAGTAGTCCTATTAAATTTTCTATGATCTTTTAAACCTCTCCTCTGCTGATGAAACGCATTTAATTTTTTGTGTACCTTGAGGTCTAGGAATGGGTTTTCATTGTACAAATACATTGGAAGACATTTATAGGTAAAGGAGGTGGTGATTATTTATTGATTCTTAGCACCAATGTTTCAATCATCCAGTTAGGAAACAAAAATTAGGTGGTGTGACCTACACACCAAGTAAACAGACTGAGTGAACGCTGGAAATGCACAATTTGAAATACATGCAAGACTGCAATTTGTTTCCAAGCTGTTGTAAGAACAATGCAAAAACCTAACTTAATAGAAATCAATTTGTGCACAAAAAGACAAAAATAGGCCAAAATCATTACATATCTTGTTGATAACAGAGATTATAATCAATATTTTGTTAGTGTTAAGTAGCTTAATCACTGATTTATGCCAAGTAAGAGCATCTTACTCAATATCTGGGGAAATAGGAAGGATTTTTTTCATCTGAAATTTTCTAGCTCTTCCAATCTTAACTTATGGTATGGGAAATATCCTCACTTGTCTTCAGAGCTGAGCAAGAGACTAAAAAGAGTCTTGTGAAGATTCAGAAGTTAATTGACTTACATACGGATAATGAAAACACATCCTTACCTCATTTGTAAGAAACTTCTGTAAGAAGCAGACTCTTGTTAATGATAAAAAAGCTACATAAGGGAACATATGCTCTACTGTCTCTTAGCTGATCCCAATGCATTTGGAAGAGAAGTTCTGCTAATGTAACCTTTATCTTTTTTCCCATGAGGAAATTCACTAGTCTACTTTAAAAAATTTAACTTGCTTTGGCATTTAATTAAAATCAAAGTCTTTAGGTGCATATTTCTATGTTTCAAGTCCTACAGTATTTGAATAAATGTAAACCAGAAACAAAAGAGACATTCCAGGATTTTTCTTTCTTTATCAGCATGCTAAATAAGGCTCCATCACTCTCAGACTTTAAGCAAGAGCATAGTCAAACTGGGCTTTCTCCAGTCCATGAAGCTCATCAGCCCAGGTTGAGGTTGGCATACTCTGGTAGGGGTCGAGGAGAATTCGGAAGCAGCGAACAATGAGGATTCCCAAGAAAATAAATAATAAAATCACAAAGGCAAATGTTGTTTTCTGTTCCAGGGTCATGCTAGAATTTGGTGCCATGTTCCCAGATGGCACCAAAGTGGCAGTAAATATCTCTCCATCCATCATCCAGTGAAGATGAAATGAATAATCCCACAGCTGCCTTCCTCTACTCTGACCTCAGTTTGCTGAGGTCAGAGTAGAGGAAGCCATATAGATGCACTTTGCTATCTGTAGGGCAAGGGGGAAGGAATGTCAACTCTGAACAGCAATTTTCTTTGTTTACTTCCATACAATTTTTTCCTAATGGAGAAAAATAGGGTGGAAACACACTTGACAGCAGGTTTGCTTGCCTCTGCATCTTATGTAAGAGACTTGTTAGAAATCTTGTACTGTTCTGCTAGTAGTGCGGAATCCAACCAACAACATTAAACACCACTAGACCCTGTGCTGGCAGCAGCCTCTCCCTACCTACCATCTAATGTGGGTTGGAGTAGAACATTTCTTTCCTGCAAGGGGGAAAATGAGATATTTTGTTACACTTCTCCAGTGGGTAGCTCACAGCAATGCAAATTGCATGCTTTACTGCAGGGTGGGCAAAATGCAGATGATGCTACTCTGATTTTGTGGAAAGGGGTTTGAAAAACAAGTGTGATTATGGTTTCAAAATGTTTTGAGGTGGTATAGACAAGGATCTACTGCTGTTCAATTAAACTCGTATGTTGCCATGGTGGACGGCAGCAACAATTCAGTGCCTGTAACACAGCAGCATTTATGAAGGAAAGGCATAAATAATTTGTGTTTAAAATGAGACAAGATTTAGAAAGGCAGCCTGAACTAAGTCAAGTCCTAATTTAGCTCAGGGGTAAATGCTTTCTCTTAATATTAGAATCAAGCTTACAAACACATTTAGCAAGAAAACGTTTTTTATGTCACTAGCTCTGCCGCATCAAGAGAATCACCAGGATTTAGGACTGAACTTGGCTGTTTCTAGACAGCAGAGCATATGCTGTGTTACTGCCTGCCTGGCGCGTGTGCTCCCTTGACTAACTGCCTGGATGTCTGCCTGCCATTACTTCCTTCTCCCTTGCACGCTGGGTTTTCCTTCCAGCAAGAGAAAAGCACTGCTGGATGCCACGGCTTAGGCCTGGTCATCAGCACGGCTGATATGACCTGTAAAGTGTCCTCAGGAGGTGTCAAAACTGAAGACTGAAGGACAGCCCTGTCTCAGTTGAACATGTTAATGGTGAGAGGAAGGAAAAGAAACAGAAGAACACAGTGTGGCATATAGCACACAGGGGTGAAACTTCCACGTGATTATAACCACTCTATCACTGGGCCGGGATCAGTAGTGATTTATAAGCATGCCTCAGTAACAACAGCTAAGAGATGTAAGTCAATTAAGAAAGCACATTCATGCTGAAATATTGCTGGGACTATTCAGAAAACTGTACCTTAAAGCAGAAAAGGTATTGCAGCAAAAAAAGTACTGGAACTGCATGGCTATTATTGCCTGGTTTACAGTAAAATAGAAAGATCGAAAATGTTAGCTTCCAGCCTTTTGAAAGAGTGTCTCAGCTATCAGCTGACAAAATGCAGAGGATTGTCTAACAGAGAGAGCTAAAACTCTAAGAACAACCAGTTTCATAAAGCTAACAGATCGTTTTGGTGGTGGTTTTTTTTGGGGGGTGGTGATAGCTGGTGAAGGAAATAACAAATTCTTGTTATAATCTTGTTACAAAAAAACCCAACAACAAACATATAAACTGAGAAAGACTGTATCACTTTGGCAGTGATGCTACAGTAAAGGCCAAAGTTAGTGGTGCTTCCTTCTAAAAGACCTCTGGTATTTATTCTGACTTTAAAAAGCCCTTCAGCACATGTATTATGTCATGATCTTTAATGTTACTTCAGCATATACCTTCAGCTATACGAGTATTATACACATGTGACAGTCTTTCCTAAAGCTGCAATCACACAATACCATAACTATGCTTGTTCTCACAGATTAGGGCATTTTAAGAAAGATTTTCCTGACATTTTTCCCAATGTTTTCTGAATAAAGTTAGCAACTGTGGGAGAAAATGCCTAAAACAGAAAATCTGTGACTGTCAGGGAAGATCAGCTTTTGATATGCTCATTTTAAATGTCAAGCTTAGAATAGACAAAAGACTCTGTACATAGTATTTTTCCAGTTTTAAAGAAACTTGATTTTAAAAAGATATGTGAAAATAGTTACTCAGTGATAAAGCAAATGCAGTTCATTACTTTCCTTTAGGGATCAGAGTAGGCATGTAAGTGAGATAATACAGAGAATAGTTAGATATTATTTTTCATAGCATTGAGCACTACTGTCTGATTTTAGGAATAGGTGTGATGTCCAATTATTTTATAGTTAGAAGTTTTTCACACTGAGAGTCCTAATTTTCATGCTATAGATTGTATGCAGTGAAACACCAAGACTGCATTGTACAGCTGAAAGGATTGTATTTCCAAGGCTTTGGGCTACCAGACAGCCTTCTGTGTATGCTCATTACACTGCATTATTGCAAGATTTTTGGAGTAGGCAGTCCCTGGTGGAACCACATTCTTTGCCCTCTTTGGATTGCATCTTTTGCAAGCTGAAGTTTAAATGACATTATTAACCATTACTTTTGTGACAAAACGATGTTAAACTATCCCCACTCATAAAAGCATGTGGGTACTTGAAAGGAGAGCGTAACTAGCTAAAGACATTAATTGGGTATGTCCACAGCCAGAATTAATTAGGCTTGGAAGCACATTGGACACAGCAACACAGGCTTCCACACTCCTGGCCTCTAGTCGTTCACCAGAAGCAACTGGTGTAAGGGAGTCCATGAGTCCACATCACCCGGGAGTCCATGAGTCCACATCACCCTCCCTGCCTGTCACTTTCTGTTGTGTCAGCCGAGCTCTGCTGGCACTGAGCACCAGTCTCTTTCCAGCTGGAAAACTACTCTCTACTAGGGAGGCTGTGCAGCTTATACAGGGCAACATACCCTTAAAATGTTTTTAATTACATGAAAACCTCTGCAGTCTTTGCAAAAGTTCCTCCAGTCTGACTGAACTCCATCCAGCCTCAGTTCTACTGACCAAAGGTCACTAGGAGGACTGGAGCCTGCAAGAGGGTTCTGAGGAGCTGCAAAGAGAGGCAAAAAGGCCCTTCTCCACAGCATGAGGGAGATTTCTGCTCGAGAATCCACCTCTACTACAGATCCCAAGAGGTGAAAGATGAAAGTGCAAGTGTGATGCACAAAGGTATTCCCATTTTAGCACAAAGGCATCTATGCAGCCAAAACAAAAAATTAAAAAATATGAACTATAACAAGGGAAGTGGTAGAAAACAGACAACAGTAACAGCATAAACTCAATGCGTTTCTTCTCAGTTTGTTCCAATTGCTAAGATCTGAGTCAGATTATGGAAAGGCTTTAAGACGGTTTAGAAATTTGTTGATATAACAAAGATTCCTCTAGGTGAAGATCTGCTGCTTTGTTCGTTGTTTTTTTTTTCCCCACATCTCAGATAAAATCATAACTGAAAAAATAGATTATCCTTCACTTCAGTGACTAGTCTTGATTTTTATTTATTTATTTTTAATGCAGAGGTGCCCCTTCAGTAACTTCCTCTAATGAGTTCCTTGCAGGTGTGTCTAATTCTTTGTTTAATGAGTACAGAGTTGCACATCACTATACCCACATCAGGTTGTTATAATTTCTCCTTGCTAGTGCCCATATATCCATTAGGTAGTTCAATTACAGTTCTCCTTGAGGCAATACTTACAGCCTAATATACTGAATTTATAAAGACATAAAGAAACAGAGCAAAACTTACATATTGTTACTGGCATTAAATCAATGAGTTAATCTCTAACACATCTTAAGCATTAATAGCCTTCAAATAGTTTCAGGTGTTCACCTGCAGCCCAGTAGCTGAATTATGAGCATAGGGCCTGGTCAAACGCCATCAAAAGGTAATTTTCCTGTTGAAGCCACTAAGATTTTTGGAGTTAAAATCTCATTAGATTAATCAGCTTGTAGAGCTATCTTCACATTTGTATGAAAGAAACTAATTCTCAGGACTCTGAGGAGTCATAGAATCATAGAACAATTCAGTTTGGAAAAGACCCTTGGGATCATCAAGTCCAACCATTAACCCTACACTACAAGGTCACCCCCAAACCATAATACCCAACATCACATCTAAGCGACACTTAAAC